AGTAATGTTTAGCAGAGCAAGGATATTTTTTCACTTTTTTTTTTTTCTTCTGGAGAAAGTATTATTTCAGTTTTACTTTGACTGCGATAAATATTTGGTTATTAATTTAAGCAAAAGTAAAAAGAAAAAAAATTTAAAAACTGCTAAGGTCAATATTATTGTAGTTTTTTTTTTTCTTTTTTGATTGGCAACAAACGTCAACAAACGTCTGTTGCCTTGCCTAATTAACCTAACTTGCCCAACGTGCCACTTTATGCTGAATAATAATATATTTTATATATTCTAAAATATATTCTCTTTATTGAACAGCACGTGGAAATCTATCTATCTATCTATTCATCCATCCATCCATCCATCCATCCATCCATCCATCCATCTATCTATCTATCTATCTATCTATCTATCTATCTATCTATCTATCTATCTATCTATCTATCTATCTATCTATCTATCTATCTATCTATCTATCTATCTATCTATCTATCTATCTATCTACAACAGCGCTAAAATAAAAGTTTATGAAGAATCTGGAACAGTCTAAAAGTGCACATTTAACTTTTTTCTGGATGGCAGCCCTGATTATGCAGAGCTGTAGATGATAAATGAACCGTAGCCGAACAGAAGTGCAGAATCTGAGCTGAGCAGACGAATTTCAAGGAAGCGGTCAGACAGGTCATCTGCTCACCTTACAGATCTTATAGAGAGAGTCCTGCCCATCACCCCCTGTGTCTTTGAAGTAGTCGTGTGCAGGAAACGTACGGTTAATGTCCCGAGTGATGGCACTGTCCTGTGGAGATTCCTAATAAAAGAGAAGAAAGAGAAGCGGAGAAATATCACCACAAGGCACAGCTGCAATGCCAATATATAAAATTACATTGAAAGACAAGTCGACTTAAAGGCAAAGTGTGTGGTTTCTGTGCAACACTCATCACAAAATAGAAATGCAAAAATAATGACTCCCGCATCTGCTTTTGTTCGAGCCATCAGACCATCAAGTGACAAATGTTTGCCAATGGTTGAGTCAATGTTGTTGTATCAGGCATGCATTATGTCTCATTCCCACTAGAGGGCACTATAAAGGGCATAATAAATGACATAATGTGAGAGATAAGGATATTATGGGATAGATCATCCAAAATTTAATATTTACTCACAATTTACTAACCTTTAGGAGTTTCTGTTATTTTCTGAAGAAAAACTGAAGAATGTTAGAAACCAGTAACCATTGGCATCCACAGTAGAAAAAACAAACACCATGTAAATCAATGGTGACCGGTTTCCAACATTCTTCAAAATATCTCATTTTATGTTAAACAACAGAAAGGAGGTTAAAGATGTTTGTAAGGCGGGTATAGGATGACAGAATCATCTGTTTTTGGGTGAACAACCCTATTTAAAGAATGTAAAATATAGTTTTTACAGTGATGACATCGAAGAGACATTTTTAGTGAAAAGAAATTACATTTATAGTGAAAAGATAATCAAAGAACCATTTTTTATAGAATAAAGATCATTTTATTAATCTTTAGAACCCCTTTTAACTATATAGAAACCTCAGGTGTAAAACATTTCATGGATTTGAAGGTGCTTCATTGATAACCAAAAAAAGAACCATCACTTTAAAGTTTAAATCACAGTTTTGTTTTTTTTCCCAATAGCAGAGGAAGACAGATGAGCTATTATGAACGTTTTACTTTAGTGTTATCAAGCAGATGCTTCTATTTCGCGAAGACACTTCACCTGATTTCCTATTATTGGTTTGGAAATATAGATAGTAAATCAAATTAAATTTCTTTGGAATTCAAAGAGTCAATCAAATTTTAGTAAAATAGTTCCTGAAGAATTGATGTGCTTCAAACGAAATGTTAAATGTCTATAGGGTTAAATCATGAACTCCCTAAGTGTTATTAAAATCCAGTTATTTAGTTGAATAGACAACCTAAACCAGGGGTGACCAAACTCGGTCCCGGAGGGCAGGAGAGTGTCATGGAGAGTTTAGCTCCAACCCCAATCAAACACACCTGAACCAGCCAATCAAGCTCTAACTAGATATACTACAAACATCCTAGCAGGTGTGTTGAAGCAAGTTGGAGCTAAACTCAGCAGGACACCGGCCCTCCAAGACCGAGCTTGGACACCCCTGAGCTAAACAGACATTGTTTTTGGTGGTAGAAGAAAACTATTTTTACATTTGTAAATATTTTTGAAAAATCTGTGACATTAGTGCATTTGTATTTAGGCCCAATCCCAATTCTACTCCTTAGTCTTTCCCATTACCATGTCCCAATTCTCTTTAGCTTGAAGGTGTAGGAATAAGGGGGAAGGGCTAGATAACCATTTAAACTGAGATTTTTCAGGACCACACTCGAAACCAAGTGGTAAGAAAATTTCCCAGAATACACCAGCTACAACGTCATCCTGGCTGCACCCAGAAGTAAAGAGATGCACAAATTTGTATTTTTGTGTCATTATTACGAATCTTTACAACAACGAAGTGCATGTTTTAATACCTTCATAACGGTGTTTCTGTTTAACAGTCAATAAAAATTGCAAAATTTCGCTATCTATAATCCATAATAATAACTACTGTGTAGCAGTCCAACAACATTCTGACACTCGATGACACTCCAATACCCTGTCAGAAAAGTCTAGTGGCTGGGAATGAGCTTTTTACACTGTCTGCTATAATGTTAATGTTGTTTTGGTGTGTTAACATAGATGAATTCGGCCACTGTGTAAGTGCGCACTATAGTTACGATCTTATTGCCACATTAGATTGTTATGATAACATAATATCAATTCTGTGATTTCCTGATGATAATAACCAAAAAAATTACACATTACAAATCACTGGAATGACTACAGCAGTCGCCATCATCAATCTCATAAGAACCAAGAGATAGCGATGACATATGATGATGTGTGCAGGTGCTATAGTGCTGTCCCATTTCTTAGCAGTGAATTTAAGCCCTTCCCCTTTACACTCGGTTTCAAGAGCCAAGTGGAAGGGGTAATGGTACAAAAATAGAATTGGGACTGGGCCTTAGTGTTCATATAGTACAATGTATGCTTTTTTTTGTATTTTACAAAAAGAGCCATTGCCATACTGACCTGGTATGTGTAACACAACATTGTTGTTTTTGCAGATCTGTGTAAACAGGGGTGGATCTGGCAACAATCTTCTGTATGCAACACTTATAAACAAAAAACTTTCCATTTTCCATTTTTGCCACATTTTAAAGATTTAAGATAAGTCTTTTGTGTCTCCAGAATGTGTCTGTAAAGTTTCAACTCAAAACATCCATCAGATTATTTATTATAGCTTTCTGAATCTGGGAAATTTGAGCTGTTAGGAAACTGTAGCTGTTTTTGTTGCCTGTGCCTTTAATGCAAATAAGCCAGTTTCTCTCTCTATTGCTCTGATCCATGTAGCCTTCGCGTGTAGAGCGCGTGTCTGCAGAGTTTTTTCCACCGTGTCTATCACGCATCAGCTGTGATCGCCGCTGCCACCCGCCGATTATCAGTATCACTCATATGTGAAGAGTGCAGCGCGCAAGGGCCAATCGCAACCGGTTTTTGTTGAGGGTGTGACCAATTAAAGAGGTGTAAGAGAACTAGACAAGAATCAGAAAGTGAGCTGGATATTTATATTTGCTTATATTATTTGCTAAATGCTCGTGTTGTTTAAAGGTACAGTTTATATTTCTGACTATTTGTATTAAATGACAAAATTGTATTACAAATAGTATATAAATATAAATATATTCATACATTTTAATACAAGAACTGCTGCTGTAAAGAAAAAAGAAAACTTTGTATGAAAAGCACCGTCAATGCACCATGATGCACTGAAATATCGAATTGAACCGAATCGATGGCATGATAATCGCAACCGAACCGAACCGTGAGACTAGTGTAGGTTCACAGCTCTACTATAGAGACATGTTAATATGTGGCTGTCAATCAATTTGGTAAGCAGGGAAAACCGCACTCCTATGTCACATTGCGGTGGCCTCTAAATTGCAGGGATTTGGATCCTAGTTTAACGTCAGGAAATTTAAAAAAAGACACTTATTGTTTTTCCATCGCTCCAATATGACTGTGGACACGCTATATCTTCACACAGCTCTGTCCAAACAGCTTACAAAAGATAATTTTCATCATAGGTGCCTTTTAATACGTATTTGTTTCAACAGACTAATGTGAAAAATTTAACTAGATTGCTACTATAATAAAGCATGTATAATAGCTACTATAATAAATCTGGTGTCAAACTGTTGAAGGACACCCATATTTGTGTTTCTTTTCAACACAGCTCAACCAGCCTCTTCTTCTCCCATTGATCTATTATTGTACCAGTTTCCTCAAAGCCAGCTTGTGATGACTCAAAAGATGTTGAATTACATTTCTTCAGAGGTTAAATTTTGCTCTTAAAACAAAAGTCTTAAAGAGCGTGATGTGTAGTTTATTTCTGTCCATGTTATGCAGTAATAGTTACATCAGTTATGTAACAAGCCACCCAAAAGTGGCTTTTTTTGGTAATTCAGAATGACTCAGTAACGGTTGTTAGTATGTTTCATTAAATAATTTTTCTTAGTTTATCTTAGACAACTTTCAAAAGCAAAAAAATTAAAAAATAAAAATAAAAAAAACACATGCTGTTTGTAATACATATTTCTAAATACATTGTTTTTACAAATCACAACAATAATTTTAGCATTTTAAATCAGCAATATAAATAGAATTGCTGCTAGCATTATAAAAAATATGCAGACATACTAATTCACCACAGGATTTACCCATACAGAATGCCAAAAAGGTAAAAATAGTTACTGTAGCCCATCAAGCGTATGTTATAAAACTAAATCTACATTATACAACATCTCTTTATAGGTCCTCTCTGTTTCTGACACACACACACAAACACTCACGCACACCCAGTGGGAGTCACGGAAGCTTAAGGGCAAACTGCTGCCACTTTCTTTTGCCATTTTAAAAGACAATAATGCAAAATATTACATCATGCCCATGCCTTTCAGTCATTACATACTCAAAAGGTCCCTAGCAGAGTACAGTAAAGAGCTTTTACATTAAGAAGAATCATAATGTTGCCTCAGAATGCTCATTTCGCAACACTAAAACTTATTTTTAAGCAGAAGATTTGATTTGTTAAGCTCTTTAGGTTTCACCATATGGCACAAGCATTTTGAATATATCGGTCTCAATTAAAGTGATAATTAAAAGCTCATTAATATCAGAGATGCAAGAGAATAGTAATGACTCATGCCTAATACGAGTATGTGCAAAAAAAAATTGCAAAATATATTTCATCAGCGTTTATAAAACATACATTTAATTGGAATAATACTGTTAAATGCATGACTACTGTACCATATTACTTTGCAAGCTTTTAAAAAATCTATTGAAGGTATACACTATTATTACAAACTTTTTTTATTATTTATTATTACTTATTTAAATAAACCCTTATGCTCACGAAGACTGAATTTATGTGACTATAAAGCAGTAATATTATGAAGTACTATTAAAGCTTAAAATGTTTGTTCTCTACTCAAATACATTTTTTAAATGTACATAATTTCAGTAATTGCATGTTCAGCATCAATATTTTAGCTTTCAGTGTAACATGATCCTTCAGAAATCATTCATTCCTTGCTGCCCAAGAAAAATTTCTTAGTATTATCAACATAGAAAAGTGCCACTTCATCTTTTTTATGAAAATTCCAACAGTAATTATATATCATATCATTCAAATCAATAATAAAAAAAAAACAGTTC